TTGGTGTTATCATACGTACATTGCTCGTGCATTCGTTTCCCTAGCCATGTGGTATTTTGAATGTTTACTGAGTTTTTTGTACAATAGATATGACACACGAAATCCTAATGCTAAGACTTCTATTTATACTACTTCGACCATAACGGTCTTGCTATAAGATTCTGCCACGTTCAGAACATGCAAAGCAATGCCTCTCTCTAGCTTCCACACGTCCTCGAATGCTCCAGCGCATATGTTTTTAAATTTCGAACATCCCGCTTGCATTTGAATTTCAAATGTTTTGGCACTTCTTCGCTTCGAACGCATTTCTTGGACACAACCTTGTTATCACTTCGAGACTTCTTTTGAAGATATCCTCATAACTGTCACTCGAAACTCCAAGCTTTGGTATGCCCATTCGAAGTACTGCTTCTACCTTTTCGAAACATGAAATCTTGCTTTATTCCAATCGAAACATCCAACTTGCTTTGCTTCGAACAATATCATCAAAATCTTCAGCCAACAGATACGCACCCAACCAATTGTGAATAGAAAATGTTGTCTTTGAATTAGTATTCTTGCACGGTAATGCTATGACCAAAAGTAGTTTATATTTGAGTATGTTGGTTTTGAAGCATTTGGTTCACCCTATCCTAATCTCTATAGAAATCAACCTTACTATCACCCAATCATTTCTTCGACGCCGAATGTGTCTATTCAACCCTGTTAGTTATTGTATTACCAATGTGTCTAACCTGATCGGTCCATGCACATATAATATTCCCCTTCACTTGGTCCAGAATAGTACTCTCAATGTATTTCAAGAAATATGGATATTGGACACACATGCTCCTAACTTGTATTATGGAGGCAACATACAATTCTTTTGTGGATGAATTTAGTATATAAGTTCATGCATCCATTGTCTTTTCCACCACCATACTAGGTTTGACCATTTTTGTCTTCACCCTTAATTTGTTTGGTGCCTCCCGTGGGTTTTAGCCGACTCCTCATATTTCTTGTAATGTGATATAGATAAAGTAATGCGTAGGGTGTAGGAAAAACCTTTACAACCGAATTCATTAGTGCAGTGTCTCAATCGGTGACAATTACCTTCGACATGTTTTCTTAGTCCTTCAAAAAAGTCTTGCACACTTCCAAGGCCCATGTAACATTGACCTATTTTTTGAATTCAAAAAATGCAAATCCCATTAAAAAAGTCTTCTCCATAAAAGTAACACCCAAGAAGCGGAAACCTATACTTGTTGGTCTTATACGTTGAATCGATAATGTGGATGATAGGGAAAATAACAAGTGTAATATTTTTCCTCTTGTTGTAATAGGGAGATTCCCGAAATGTCGATCTCAAGGACTGAATGCAATTATTGAGTTAAATTCGTAGTTCAATTAAACAAAAACTTAACTTGGAGTTTTGATTTTAGAAATTGTGACTGAATTATAAGCAGAAATATAAAAATGATTTTTCACATATATGATAGACATGCTAGGGTGTCGTGTGTAATTCTCCTTATAATGACCTTGAATCTTGATTTCTTCAACAAGTTCATAACCTTCAACTACCAGCCCTTTAGAGTATTTCCCCTTAAATCCTTAATGAGAAAACCTTTAACCATCCATCCTAGATCCTAAGTCCTCATAGATATCTGATGGAGTCAAGCCTTTATTTTATCAAGGGTTAAATATGGTGACCATAGGGTATCCCTAGTCATAGGTGATATCTACTATCGTCTAATTGTACAAAAACCTTAATAACTGCGATTCAGCTGGTTGTTAACCTTAAATCAATCTTAATTTGTCCGATCTAAAAAGCATAAAAAATATTGTACAATTAAATTGAATAGAGAAGACTTTATTAAAGAAATTCAGGAATTCATAATCATTATAGCTTTAAATCAAGGACACCCCATAGCATCGGGGGATTTAGCCGTTCATATTGTTAACGAGAATTACAAAAATATAAGAATTAGACATTACAAATGATGAAGGAACTTTAGTCTTCAATCGCGGCCGCTCATGAAAGATCTTCATTCTTTAAGAATATCATATCCTCACTCATAGACTCTGGACTTCGTTCTATGCCAAAATAAAAAAGTCTCTCCATTCATCGTGGAAAATTGGCTAAATAGTGAATAATTCATTTGTCACGGTCTGAAATACCCAAAACGCCCCTCTGGGTCTCAAATAGTGAAAAATCATAAAAACGCTTAAAATCAGTGTCACTGGAGAACACGGCCCGTGTTGGCCATCAGGTAATTTTTCTGCTTCAGGCATGCTGACACAACCCGTGTCAGGCGACACGGCCGCCCATGTTAGCCTCTATTTTCCATGATGTCCAAGTCTTCCCCCTGACACGGCCCGTGTCAGGTCACACGACCACCCGTCTCAGGAACTATTTTCCACGCTTTCCACGTCTTTCTCCTGACACGTCCCGTCTCAGGTGACACGACCACCTGTGTCAGGGCTTCTGTAGCATTTCCTATGAAACTTTGAATTATGGGCTTTTTTCGCCACGATTTGTCCAATTTTATTCTTTTGAACTTGAAAACACTAAAACACAAAACCAAATCATAATATGCGATAAAACGAAATAAAAACTAGATAAGTAAAATAAACAATAACTGCTAAATATCTGTGTAAAAATCACTGATCAGAAGACAATGGAAAATGTGTTGAACAACTTAATAATTTCGAGATGAGTCCATAATATGTCACGAACAATGACTTTATCATCACAAACTGTGTTCTTATAAATATAATGGTTTTCATCCAAAAATTTCAAACTTTGTTGCATTTCGGATCTTGGACCCCTTATCGCCATGTTGTTTCGATGACGTGCATTGTATACCTGTTTGATATTTGAAACACTTTCTGGATGTTTCCATTTCAAATCTATAAGTATGTTTTTTGGCGCCACTATGATTAAAGACATGTTTGAAACAATTTTCTTCTCCTCCGATTTAAGTCGACATATGATGGGATGACCGACTAGCTTCGTTTTCAAGGCATGACTATATATTCAAAAAATCACATTAAATTTCCACATCTCATCCACGTTACAATATTCACGCAATTTAAATGGATAACCACATTATCTCGTTCTGGTATCATCATGTTTCAACTTTTGAATCGGGGGAACATACATGTCACTTCTTTCGTATCTCATGATTACAAATGTTTGTCTTCCATTTGAACCATTGTCGAACCTTCCGATTACAATGTCAAACCCCAAATTCCTGGCTACCATGCAAACCCATTGAAATATATGTTCGTGAGCAGTAAATAATTGTTCATTTATGAAACATTGACCAACATCGATCTCAACAAGAATCAATTTAACATTATCATTCACTTCTTCTGGTTTAACATCATCATTCACTTCTTCTAGTTTAACATCACGCTTTACTTAATATGGTTTAACATTATCCTTCGCTACATCATGTTTTATATTGTTGCATACAACAACTTTGAGAAACATATTCTGGTGCACCATATCTAATAGGAACTCAAAACAGAAAAATGCTTAAAAACCAGTAACATAAGATTTTAGATATGCACATCCGAAATTATGGTAGGTGAGTTCGGATATATATATATTCAGACAAAGCACATATTTTTTCAACTCAAACAGAAGATTAATGCAAGCAATAAGGGATGCGATAAGGGAAGTTTACCTTAAATTGCAGCTTATTTTGCTCCATTTGATATGATAAAATGCAAGAAATATGGTTTGGAATCGAAAAGTTGATTCAAAATGATTTTTTAAGGGTTTTTGGTTATGGAATAAGTTTGAAGAGTGATAGATGATCATGCAAGATGGTCATATATTCAAGTTTCTGTTGAATATTTTTGGAGATACATCTCCGAAAATATCATTGAGTGGTTGAAAAAAATATTTTAAATATAAGTGTTATAAAATGGCTTCAGGGGTATGTTCGGAGATGTATCTCCGATTTTTTTTTTGAAACAACCAAATATATTAAATTGCTAGCACCAGAAGTGCAAATAGAACAAAAGGTCACCAATACAAAAAACAAAATACAATGCCAGAATATGTAAGCCTATTAGAAAATATTACAACTGCAACTACATTGCCACCTAAAAGAACCTATAAACAATTGAAGCAACTACACAATAATAGCAAAACCTCCTGAAACGCCTCCAACAGATAAACCAAAGATCTCATGTTGTATTAGACAACAACATAGACAAACCGATAGAAACGGATCGACGAACAGGTCCGCTAAACAACACAGCAGGAACTAACTTTTCCGTAATACTAATACAAACCCTTGGATTTATTCTCCATTGAGCATAGTTGAATTTCATGTCTGGATATTTCATGGACAACCATCTCCAAGAAATCTCAATAATATCTTTAATCATGTTATCATTTTCAACCTCTTTGTTATTAAACAGTTTGTTGTTCCTAACTTTTCATATGCTCCAAACACATGCAAACCAAATCACGTAAGCTCTCGTAGAGGTTTTCTTGTCTACACCAAACATCCCTTCGAATTGCAAAAAGTGTAACATTCCATCATTGTGAAAAACAGTGAAAATTCGGAACCATTTGCTAACGAGATGCCAAATACCTGAAAAAGAAGGACACTAAAAAAATAGATGAGATATCGATTCTTCAGCCCCACAATCCCCGACACAACCAATAAACTCTTGACCGATAATATTCCTTCTAACTAAGTCATTTTTCGTAGCAATCCTATCTTAGAAAAATCTCCAAATTAAAAAAGACACTTTCGAAGAAATTACTTTGTGCCAAACCTTGGATTTATTCGGAGATACATCTTCGAACTAAATATAAAAATAAAAAATATTTTATACGTTCAAAGATATATCTCCAAATAAACTTAATAATATTTTGAAATTTTCATAGGTGCGTTACATTGTATGAGTGTAAAGAGAAATGGTCTATTTTAAATAGAGAGGAAAATATATTCCCTCCCGCCAGCTACATTCTCACTCGCGCGAACTAATTTCATTTCATGTCCGTACGAATGACGGGAGAGATAGAAGAGCAACCAAAAATCCAGCGACTCAGTGAGTCGGTGGTTAACCGAATCGCCGCCGGCGAGGTCATCCAGCGTCCGGTGTCCGCCGTCAAGGAGCTCGTCGAGAACAGCCTTGACGCCGGATCCACTTCCATAAACCTTTCCATCAAAGACGGCGGCCTCAAACTCATCCAAGTCTCCGACGATGGTCACGGCATCCGGCACGAGGATCTTCCGATATTATGCGAGCGGCACACGACGTCGAAGTTGTCGGCGTTCGAGGACTTGCAGAGCATCAAGTCGATGGGGTTTAGAGGAGAAGCTCTCGCTAGCATGACCTATGTTGCACATGTTACCGTTACAACCATTACCAAAGGCCAATTGCACGGTTACAGGTTACTCTCTCTTTCGATCATCTATAATAAGACATTGTTTGAACGAATAGTTAAATTAAGCGCTTAAAAATATAATCACTTATGCTTGTGTATAGGTAGTTTATACAATAAAAGGTACAATGGAATTAAATGTTTTTATACCAGCTATAAGCTGTTTTCATAAAATTTATAAGGGAGAGCTTTTGAAAAAAAAAGCTGGAAACAGCATTTGCAAAGGTTTTAAAAAACTGTCCGCGACTGCGAAAATGGCCGCGACACGAAACGGTATCACCAAGTGCCGATACCGATACTGTTATTCACTGCTTTTATATTAAAGAATAAATTGTGGTTAATTCACACCGCGACAACCGCAAAGTGTCGCGACGATATGTATCGACGGAAATTGCAAAAGCCTTTACACGACTGAGACGCTACCGAGACCGTTTTCTAAACAGTCTCACATGTATTTATGTCAATAGATAATGGACATGTTTGGATAAACAACTTATTTGCAGCTTATAGTATAGGTGCTTATCAAAATAAGCGCTTATGAATAAGCTCAAATTAGCTATTTTTATAACTTACAACAAAAGTTAAAATAAATTTAAATTGTTTTTATACATGTTATAAGTTGTTTTCATTAGCTATCTTGAAGAATTTGTAAAAATAAGTTCAAAAAGATTTATGAAAAATGTCATAAGCTGTTTTGATTAAGTCTCCTGAATAGGGTCACAAAACTTTTAGCAGTAGATAAGCTCGAATAAGCCTATCCAAACAGGTTCGAAATGGAAATCCAAATAAGCTCGAATAAACTATGATGATATTGAGCATTGATTACTGATTTTAGTTGTGTTTATTATGGTTTAGAGTATCCTATAGAGATGGTGTCATGGAGCATGAACCTAGACCCTGTGCTGCTGTAAAAGGAACACAGATAATGGTATAGTATATTTATTATCTTTGTATTATATATTGTCATTAATGTTTGATTTTAATTAATGGTCTTTAGATTGAAGCAAAGTAGAAGTTTATTAGGATATTGTATGTTGATTACTAATTGGTAGAAGTTCTAGGACTTTTTTTTGGAACTAAGCTGTACTTAAGTGCTTATGCTCTTCTAAATAAGCAATTGAAATATGCAGTGCTTAAATGCTTGGCTCTTATAAATAAGCAGTTGAAACAAGATTAATCATCAATTCTAGGTGGCGAGAATTTGTTTCTTGAAATTTACAGATCTCTATCACATTTGTTCTTTTAGATTAGTCAGTTCAGTTCCTGATAATGTGATCGATAAATTTTTCATTTTAAGGATCGTTTTGAAGTTTCGTTAGGATCTGAGAATTGTTTGACTTTTACAATATCAGGGATTAATTTAGTGATTAACTCAATTTGGAATTAAAATTTCGAGTTTAAATGATTGAGGTTCTCGTGTCTACCTGCGCTTGTGCTGTCAGGTTGAGAATCTATTCTATAACATGGCAGCAAGGAAGAAGACACTACAAAATTCTTCAGATGATTACTCAAAGATAGTAGATGTTGTCAGTCGGTTTGCGATTCATCATACTAATGTCAGTTTCTCTTGCAGAAAGGTTGGTTTTTGTATCTTCAACGATAAAACTATTTACCACTATATTCTTATGGCTGCATGTGTTGAGTTATATATGTTAATTAATTTTCATTGACCATTTGCGACCACTGTTACTATCAGCACGGAGCTGTTAAAGCAGATGTTCACACCATGGCCACATCTTCGAGGCTCGATTCCATCAGAACAGTTTATGGGGTCTCAGCTGCTCGCAATCTGGTTGAAGTTGAAGCTTCAGACAATGATCCGTCTTCTTCAGTTTTCGAGATGAATGGTTATGTGTCTAATGCTAACTATGCTGCCAAGAAAATCACCATGGTGCTTTTCATCAATGGTACACATTAGCTATATAAAACATCAAAGCGAGCTATTCTGCTCAAATACTTAATTTTATTTACTTGAATTTTTTAATTGAAGAATGTTTAATATTTAATCTGAATTCTGACAAGCTAATGACTAGTTGTTTACACATTCTCATGAAAGTCTTCTTCTCTATTTTCCTCAGATAGACTTGTTGAGTGGTCTGCGTTGAAGCGAGCTATAGAAATTGTTTATGCAGCAACACTACCTAAAGCATCTAAGCCTTTTATATATATTTCGATTGTTTTACCACCTGAGAATATTGATGTCAATGTGCATCCAACAAAGAGAGAGGTACGGGTTAATCAAGAATATGATTGTGTATAGTGCACATTCTTTATTTGTCATAATTATTTATGAAGTCACTTTCTTTCCCAAACAAAATTCCATGTAGCCGGCAATGTCCTTTATTTTTTATGATGTTGATCTAAAAAGCTTTCTAAACTTCATACTTTTTTTTGCAGAAAATTCTGTTGGCAGTGTTGTTGTCAAGTTGGTTAACCATTTGTTTTTTACTTTCTTTTTCATTTGTTGTAATTTCGAACAGATTTTTGGTTTAGTTTTTTCTCAATATACTTACTCAAGAATATGACTGTGTATAGTGCACATTCTTTATTTGTCATAATTATTTATGAAGTCACTTTCTTTCCCAAACAAAGTTCCATGTAGCCGCCATTTAATGTCCTTTATTTCTTATGATGTGGATCTGAAAAGTCTTCTATACTTCATACCTTTTTTTTTTACAGAATATACTGTTGGCAGTGTTGTTGTAAAGTTGGTTAACCATTTCTTTTTTACTTTCTTTTTCATTTGTTTTTATTTTGAACAGATTTTTGGTTTAGTCTTTTCTCAACATAGTTATTCATATTTTATACTCTTTGAGTGAGAATATTTTCTCCTGACTTTTATTTATTTATTTATTCATTTATTTATGTTACAATCCAATCAATAAAGCTTTAGGTAGTCTTTGTTTTCTGATATATCATGTCATGAACCAACTTTCCGAAGAGCTTAGTCTGTTAGACAAAGGCTCGTGAATGGTTTTCCATCTAACCTCCTCTCTTGCAAGAACCCTCTATGCTTGAAGCGTAGACAACACATAGGCCCCCCCCCCCACCCACGGGCCCACTTTACCTTGTTATGAAATTTGACTTTCTGTAGAGTTGTGGACAACCATCAACATGTGCGCCTAGAATCAAACAGTTACTGGTTGGACAAAGACACAGTCTAGAGAGCCTGTTGGTAGTTATTAAACAAGCTAGGGAACAATCTTTAAAAAATTGCGTGGATAAAAGTTCTATTACCAAGGAATTGATACCATGTTACCCTACTATGTAACTAGCACCGAGTTTAAGCATTGTTAAAATTTTAAACATGACATTTATTAGTTATTTTTTCATTGTTATGGAAAACAGTGTGTTTGTTGCATATAGGTGAGCCTTTTAAATCAGGAAGTTATCATTGAGAAGATTCAGTCGGTGATTGAATCAACATTGAGAAGTTCTAATGAAGCACGGACATTTCAAGATCAAGTATGTTTACAATTTAATACTCTACACTTTCTAATTTTTTAGTATATAGTTAGAAATAGTTGCTGATTTTGATATACTGCTTTCTCCTTCTTCAATTGAATGCATGGATAAAAAAGGTAGGTGCGGAATTGTTATTTTTATAAACTGGCAATGAGCGAACTTTTCCTTGAACTGTTTGCAAATCAACTTTTACAATTTCCACGGTTTTGCTTTCACCAAATTTTCATCACTAGAGCTTACTCCGTTTGACACCATGGCTGTACAGCGTAGTCTCTTTTTAGAAGCCTTGGTAATGATTAGAATGCAAAACCATTTTCAACTTCACTATTGCAGGCTGCAGGCTGCACCATAGCAATATAATTAGTCGAGTCAAGATATGGTTGTTCAAGAATATAGGCCAATTCCTAGGCGTGATTGTTTAGAACACTTCTGTATCTAACACTGCCTTGTTTCACTAAAAATTAAGTTAATTCCTCTCTCTTTATAATGAAACTAAATTTATGAAATTTTTTACTTGAAATGATTTGCTCCACAATCTAGTTTCCTCCACTCTTTATTATGCACTCCTTCTCAAATCCCATCTAATATATTTTGGATCATGTTTTTAAATTTCTAAAATATCTCCATTTTTTAATTATTAACAAATTCCTTGTAAACACGAATGCAGATTCTGCTTTTTTTTTCTTCTCCATGTTTTATCAAATCACTATCTTACGTAGTACCTGTATTTTCTGTGTATTGTCTCATACTTGTGGCAGACAGCTGGACAATCTTCTATTTCTCGTATTGATAAGAGCAAGGAGGATAATCTCAGCCCTACCCCATCGGGTATGGGAAATGTTCCTGTCATTTTGTATTGCACACCTTATGTTTGTTTTTGGTTTATATTCATAATGTGTTTCATCTTTTATCGATGATAGGCTCAAGAGCACCGAAAGTGCCAGTGAATAAGTTCATTAGAACAGACTCATTAGATCCTGCAGGAAGATTACATGCCTACATGCAAGTTATGCCTAGTGGACAACTAGAAAAGAATGTCACATTGAGTGCAGTAAGGTGACTACAAGTTTTTTCTTGTACATTTTTGTATCTAACAAAGCTAATATTCATTTTTAAATTGATTTTTCGTTTGCACAAATTGCACTTCACGGTAAATATACAACTTTACATTTTAACTAAAAGAACAATTAAATTATGAAACTAAGTTTCTTCACCTTATTTGGGACATTGGGTTTTATCTTCTGTAATTAGTTGGTTATTTGTAAATATTTGTGATAAATAATTATTATTTGAGACCGTATTCATGTTTTATTTTGTGCACTCAATTGCTCTAGTAATACGTAATTATTGGACTCCTATGTAATTATTAGAATGTATAAATTTGTAATTTTATTTGTACATTGTCAGGTCCTCAGTTAGACAAAGAAGGAGCCTAAAAGATTCTATAGAACTCACTAGTGTAGAAGAGCTTCTTGAAGAGATCAATAAGACCTATGACCCTGGTATGCTTCTAGATTAATCATAATGATGACTATTGATGAAGCATGTGACCATTAATTTCGACTCTGTTATAAGATAATCCTTTTCCTAGTTTCCTATAATTAGTTTCCGTTTTGGGTCTTGTTAAGATTCCCAAATTGGATGAGATATGACTTGAATAGGAGTTTAGAAGTGGAAGGCTTCCCTCACCATACAAACCGGTTTTGTAGCTTTGAGTTAGGCCCTACCTAAATTCTAAGAGTTCTCTTTTGATGTTGAGTTAGTTAGTTTCATAGTTGTTGAAGTTATGGGTTTTATAATAAATCTTTGAATATGATAATGATATAATATTATTGTTAACGATTTAATACTTATTTGATACAAAAGACTAAGCGCCAACCTAAGAAATATGGAGAATAATCTTAATAGATACTCTAAGATTAATCCTAAGAGATAAACTAGGATGCTCTAATATAAAACCAAAATAATATAAGGTATTTTCTTATGTGCTGAAAATAGTTTCCCTTTTTATGTTGGTTTACTACTAGTTTCTTTATTATTATGCATTCTATTTAAAACCTTTGAGGTGTTATTGTTTGTGAACAATCTGAATCAAATATTTTCTGATTTGCTGTCAAATCTCCTTCGACTGGACCAAATCTGTTATGTGATGTAGGTTGATTTGGAAAAAGTTATTAACAAACATCTACCTTGTAGGAATGTTGGACATTGTAAAGCACTGCACATATGTTGGAATGGCAGATGATGTTTTTGCTTTGCTTCAGCATAAAACTCATCTTTATCTTGCAAATGTTGTAAACTTGAGGTAGACATTTTGCTTTTGTTAATTTAATCTGTTATTGACAGTCTTTGCTATTAGTTTGTAAGTTAACGATCTTAACCGGACTGTCAGTATTCAGACTCCAGACTCAATGAGCTCTTATATGATGGAGCATGTTTGTGACAAACAATATCTTTTTCCATCTATCTAACTGCTTTTGAAAATTGATCAGTCAGTCTGTCCTTATTTCATTTGCAGCAAAGAACTTATGTACCAGCAAGTTCTGAGCCGTTTTGGCCATTTCAATGCCATCCAGCTTAGTGACCCAGCCCCCGTGAAAGACTTGATTATATTGGCACTGAAGGAAGAGGATTTAGATTCAGAAAGTAATGATGATGACACATTTAAAGAGAAGATTGCAGAAGTAATCTCACTTTCGCTTTTTATTATTTCTAATCTGTTCAAATCGTAATCCTGTGTGTCCAACTCAGGCTACACTCACCTCCATTTATAATAGCATATAGAATAATACAATAAATGCTAATTGATATGATTTACTAATTCTAATAATAAATAGGGTCATGCTAAGGGCACTTGTTAGGAATCTAAAAAAGAAAGTGTTACACGATAGGACGTATCTAGAAGGGGGGTTGAATAGATACCGTGATTTTTAAAAGTAGTTTTTAAAGAAAACTTAGAATGCAGTGAAAGCTACCAGGATACACTCGTCTAAAAACGATCCTCTATTGAAAAGTCGGATATGCGTAAAACCGAATGGAATGAATCAATGAGAATTATTAACACTTAATTCAATTATAATTGATCACTTATACTTTTTAACTGTTGTCAATTACTTTCAATGAATTATTGAGTATAAAACTCACAAATTTGCACTTTTAGACTTTTATCGAACACTTGGTGTGCGTAATCACACCAAGTCCAATCCATCTTAATTTGTAGTGTTAAAATCAACTATAGCAATCAAAGTGATTACTATAGTCCTTAGCAATAGTTCTATCACACTACAAATCCAAACACTTGGAACCACAAGTGCAAATTCACAAATTATAGCAAATAAACGGTAAAAGACGAGAAAGAAAAATGACACGCGATTTGTTTAGACAGTTCCCCTTGTCGTCCTCGCGTGGGGTACTCTGCCCCTAATTCTAGAATTTAGAACTAAGATAATTGCTATTATGATTGCAAAGTTTGTACAAGATAGAAAATAATCACCACAATTCAAACCCAATATGTTGAATTGAAAACTAAGTTCCTCTCTTCCCTTGATTCGATTTGAACCAAGTATGTCACCAATCTTCGATAAACCTCCGGTTGTAGCTACCTTGTTGAGAACCCAAACCGTTTCTCAAACCCTCTGCTCGGCTGATTTGATCGCAAGATGGTGACCCCAATTCTTCCTTCTCAATCTTCCGATTGTAGCTACCTTGTCGAGCGAATCCACGGTTTCTCAATCCCTTAAGCACGTCTGAATTTGGATGAAGCAAAGAATTGTCAAAAAAAACCCCAAATCCTAATGATCTTGGATGACAAAACCCTCAGATTTTATTCAAGAAAAATCCACAATTACTCAACCCGAACAAGATCGCAATCTTCTACTTCAGACGTTATCAACACACGCTCCGCACCTTGATCGACAAAAATTATTATGTGTAGTTGTCAATGGATGAATGAGAGGTTGAAGATGATGAGTACCTTGTGTATCTATTTCACTTTTCTTGTTAAAAAACCAAATGATAGAACCTTACAAGATTATATATGTTATCTCAAGTCAAAACCCAAACTAACAAGCTGAAAAACAGATTTAACGAGCGAACGGTCGACCTATGCTAAAAGGGGGACTCGACCTGAGCATTTCCGAGAGTGTCAGAAGACAAAGTGCGCGATCCATGCGTCGACGCATAGTTCCTAAAAATTACTCCCAAGTTGAGTCGACCACACAGTCGACGTGAGCAAATCCGAGATTTTCCCAAAGAGCAACTTTCAATCATGCGTCGACCGAAGCTTTTTTGAGTCGACTCAAAGCATAGAAATTTCCAAAAATACTAATTTTTGAAGACTTTTCATGCTTCCTTTTCCACCATATCATCTAGCAACATTCCAACATATAGTGGAAAGTTTTGACATCATTGAAACTCTTATTGAAGGAACCTTGCCTACACAGAAAGTTGTGTTGAAAATAACATTTTTTTAGATTTTTAAAGTATTGATTACACAACTTCCAAGACGTTATTACTACATTGAATTCCTTAAGAAGTGCTGGTGCCCTGTAGTGTTCATTTCCACGATTTACGATTTTACTTCCCCATTCCGGTTTTGGGTGAAGTCATACAAACTCATAAGTCTCAAACAAGAGAATTTAACTTCTTGGACATGCATGTTTTCATTTGATATTTTCTTTCTGTATCTTCATTTTATGCATATTTTATGGTTATCTCTTTTCCTATTTTCCAGATGAACACAGATCTGCTGAAACAAAAGGCTGCAATGCTGGAGGAGTATTTCGGCATTAATATTGATGATCATGAAATATCTCTAGACTTCCTGTGATACTTGATCAGTATACTCCTGACATGGATCGCATTCCTGAGTTTGTGCTTAGTATAGGCAATGATGTTAGTCGTACAACTCTATTCTCCACCTCTTAATCTGTTTATGGAGAAGTCTCCACAAATTTGTTTTTCCTCACGTAGATGTCAGTCATACCATCTGCACACTATCTCTGCATCTTGATTACACTTTTTGGGAGCAAACATTTTTTTTAATCTAGTTATTCCATTAAAGTTTTTGCCATCTAAACATTTTAAGTGCTTGCCTTTGCTAATTTTGAACATGCAGTGTTTTCCGATCACATTTGTTTCTTTACATGTTGAAAACCATGGTATGCATTTTGATGATAGGTTGATTGGGAAGATGAAAGGAACTGCATTCAGGCAGTTTCAGCTGCTCTAGGAAATTTCTATGCTATGCATCCACCGTTGTTGCCCAATCCATCTGGCGAGGGAATGCTTTTCTACAAGAAGAGAAAACTGTTCGATGGTTGTTCCCTGGAGAATATCTGTGATAGTACTGGTATGAACTTCATACATGTGCATATATATCCACACTTATAGTTATCATTGAAATATGTACACTCTCAATGTAGAGAAAAATAAAAACCTATTCTTGTTAAGTTAGGGATGTGGTGTGTCGCATTGTAATTCTTGAAGACATGTTGGTTCTTAATGGGAAAAATCTATGGAAACATTTATTGAGAAAACTTCATCAGGGGGATGCAGTAAAATAGACTATTCTTCCATTAAAGTTTTTGGTGGATGTTACTGGGTTATGACGAAGTGAATTTTGTTTTCAGAGAGTGATGTTATTGACAATAATGTTGAACAAGAACTGCTTTCTGAAGCTGAGACAGCATGGGCTCAGCGTGAATGGTCAATACAACATGTGCTTTTTCCATCCATGAGACTTTTTTTCAAACCACCTGCTTCTATGGCTACTAATGGAACATTTGTTAAGGTAATGTGTGTGATTCTATTGGGAAAAAACCAGATTTTGCTATTAGTTTGATTATAAATTTTTAATTTTTCCTATGCTTTACTGATTTATTTATGGTATAATCTTAGTGAAGTAGAGTGGGGAAACGTGCAAGTATTCATTTTCTCCTTTCTATATTTTACAGGTAGCTTCATTGGAAAAGCTATACAAGATTTTTGAAAGATGCTAGCCAACCAAGTGGATTTTGTGAAACTACATACATCAATTTTGAGCTGGAACTATGGTTTTGGTATTATCCGTGTTCAGTGTTACAACTTTTATTGCTCACACATGTGGATATGTATCTGCTATGTAGAAACTAGATTCAAGTGCCTTCTAGAGAATTTTTTGGCCTAGTGATCCTTCATGTTTTTTTGTTAAGCAGTTCCAAATGTATAGGTATCATTTCAGTTGGTTCAGGTAAAATTGATGAATTTAGTATATCATATGTGATGGTGAATTTCAGTAGGTTCAGGGAAAGTTTAAGGGATTGTATTAGGCTTCAAACTACAAGAACTATGGCACCATAAACTTTTTCCCATCTCTAAAGCACTTGGGAAGTACAAAGTTTTATCTCCATCTTGATATGCATAATAACAGATAATTATAAGTTAGTCTTATAATTTAGGTGTAATCAACCCATTCCTATTAGTGTGCATATGACTTGATTATAAGTTACTCTTAAAATTTATGTGTAACCAACCATTCTTATTAGTGTGCATATGACTTGTTATAGTTTGAATCATTCATGCCTTGATGTTAGGAATCAGAATTGGCATAAGAGCTCCCTTAAGATTAGGAATTAGTTATACAATCATGTATCTTTTGTATCTATAAATAGTCAGCATTTATGACTAGAATAATATATTGGAATATCATTCTCTTCATGGTATTCAGAGCTTAAAAGCTTAAAACAATTTTTTCCTCTCTCTCTCTCTCTCCTCTCT